AAAATGTTAAAATTACAATTTTCTTTTATTCTGCACAGCTTTATTAAAGTATAATTGACAAAACTGTAGAATTTTCTTTCTCATAAAAGTTACTTGGGGAGAGATTTATAGTTTTAACCTTAATAGGGTTAATAGGATTAGTGGACTGATTCCTTTGTAATTAAGAACCCAGAGTAATAGCCTAAAGAATGGTTTTGGAAGTGAGTATCTCATAAGAGTTGTATCCAGCTTTTTTCTTCTCTAACCCATTCCTCACTTAGTTACCAGATGTGTTTTTTAAAAACACTTTTATCATATGTCTTCCATATTAGTTTATCTAGAAAATAAAATATGAATTCCTCAGTAGGACACAATTTGGCCTCAATCTACCTATACAGACTCAGTTCTTCCTAAATACATCCACTTGTCAACCTGACCCCTAGCCAAGTCAAGCTGTCATCAAAGTGTATGTTTGGTTACCTAGTTCTTGGCTCACTTGGCATGGCCTCCTGAACAAACCCCACCCCCACCAACCTGCTGATGAGGCCAACATGAAGACAGAAGACACGATCATGGAAGGTTTTATAAGACAGGGTAAGGACTCTGAGAATCATTTTAATTGTGATAGGAAGACACTGAAGAGTTCTAAGCATGGAAGTAACATGATCTAATTCATTTTTTAAAGAATCATTTTGGCTAATATGGGGAGAATAAGCTAAGAAACAAGAGTAGAAGTAGGGAAGTGGTGGGGGAAAACACGACTAAAAAATGGCTGCTACCTGAACAACTGGGTAAAGGTGGTTAGAGTGCTGGGATTAGCAAGCCTTGGTGTGTAGGAAGGAAAGTAGGGGTGGAAGAAGGGGTTTGGGGCATGAGTTTTGTTTGGACATATAAAATCTTAGAAAGGTCAGGGTGCCTGGGTAGCTCAGGTGGTTGAGCATCCGCCTCTGTTTCAGCTCAGGTCATGATCTCATGGGTCGTGAAGTGGAGCCCTGCGGGGGGTTCTGCGCTCAGCAGGGGAGGGGGGTCTGCTTGAGATTCTCTTCCTCTGCCCCTTCCCCAATGTGTGCACACATGTACATACTCTCTCAAATAAATACATAAGTCTTTAAAAAAAAATCTCAGAAAGCTCTTGGTTGCTCTATCCCTCTTTATTGCAGAGACACTCTGTTTATACTGTGATTTTATAATCTATCACATGCTGACAAAATTTGTTCCATGCTTATCACTCTCTCTAGTCAGATTGGCTGCTTGAGGGCGGAGACTGTAATATTTAGTCCATATCCTTAAGAGAGGACCTTCAACAAAGCAGCCACTTAAAGTGACTGCAAAATGAAAAAAGGTACTGTTCTAGATACTCTGAGGAATGCAAACCTAGGAAGAAAAAGTTACTTTTCTAGCAGTCTCCATCATCTAGAACTTACCCTGAATCAGGGTTAACAGAAGTTACTGCAGACCATAAACCTGGCTCGGAGTCTAGCCTTCCAGTATAGAAACTCATATATAACATATATCAAATCAACCTGTGCTCTTCAGCCTCTTAACATGAGGGCTAGGGGGCCCATACTGATTAGCTCTATGTTAAATAGCTTTTCTTTTTTTTTTTTTTTTAAGATTTTACTTATTTGAGAGAGAGAATGCACGAGCAAGAGAGCACAAGCAGGGGGAGGGGCAGAGGGAGAGGGAGAAGCAGGCTGCCCACTGAGCGGGATCCTGATGCAGGGCTCGATCCCAGGATGCTGGGATCATGACCTGAGTCGAAGGCAGACACTTAACTGACTGAGCCACCCAGGCACCCCTAAATAGCTTTTCTTTTCTTTTTTAAAGATTTTATTTATTTGACAGAGAGAGACACAGCGAGAGAGGGAACACAAGCAAGGGGAGTGGGAGAGGGAGAAGCAGGCTTCCCGCTGAGCAGGGAGCCTGATGCGGGCTCAATCCCAAGACCCTGGGATCATGACCTGAGCTGAAGGCAGACGCTTAACAACTGAGCCACCCAGGCGCCCCTAAATAGCTTTTCTTTATACTGTACAAAGCCAAACATTTACAGATATGACTTAAATATTTACATAGGTTTTCAAGTAGGATTTTTATTTTTAAACATCCTATCTACATTAGTTTTTGTAGTCTTTTTTTAAAGATATTATTTATTTTAGAGAGAGAGCGAGCACGAGTGCATGCACGTGTTGGGGCAGAAAGGGAGAGGGACAAGCAGACTCAGAGTTGAGCGTGAAGCCCCACGCGGGGCTCCACAGGGTGTCAGGGGGCTCAATCCCACGACCCTGAGATCATAACCTACACAGAAATCAAGAGTTGATGCTTAACCGGCTGAGCCAACCAGGAGCCCCAGTTTTTATAGTCTTATTTTTCAGATTCTAATATATATAGATTCCTGTATTTCAGATTCTAATAGATTTCTTGTACAGTCTGGAACACTTAACTGTTTATCCTTTTAAAGCTCATTTGAATACTGAATAGAATTACAGATTTTTTTAAAGATTTTATTTATTTATTTGACAGAGAGAGAGAGAGAGAGGGACATGGAGAGAGAGAGCGCACACGCAGGGGGAGTGGCAGGCAGAGGGACAGGGAGCAGAGCCCGACACGGGGCTCTATCCCAGGACCCTGGGATTATGACCTGAGCCGAAGGCAGACGCTTACCTGACTGAGCCACCCAGGCGCCCCTAGAATCACAGAATTTTTTTTTTTAAAGATTTATTTATTTTGAGAGAGTGAGAATGAGAGAGAGAGAGAGAGCGCACATGAGGAGGGGAGGGCCAGAGGGAAAGCAGGTTCCTCCCTGAGCAGGGAGCCTGATGCGGGACTCGATCCCGGGACTCCAGGATCATGACCTGAGCTGAAGGCAGTCGCTTAACCAACTGAGCCACCCAGGCGCCCGAATCACAGAATTTTTAAGACAGAAACTCACTAAATCCAGAGCCCTTGTTTATCTGTAGGGATAAGAAAACTGAGGCCTGAAAAAATTTCTCAAGATTCTACAGTCATTTAGAAATGGAACCAGGTGTAGAAACTACTTCACCTGTTTCCTACTGCATAATTCTTTTCCACAAAGATAAACTTCTTAATGAGTAAAATGGATTAATTTGGCCATTTTGCAATGGACTACATATTCTGCTTTTATAATTTTTCTATACAGTGATATCTCAACAACTTTTATAGGAAGGCTATGCCTTAAAATGAGATCAAGCATATTAATAACTAAAACAGTCAAGTGAGGGCTTAATGGTAATGCTTCTGAGATAAGTGCACACACACAGAGACAGGGTATGATAGAAATGCTACACTCAAGAGCTATATGGCCATGGAAAGCTGAAGGTAGATGGACCAAAGCCTATGTATAATGGTGAAGTTTGTAAGACTTGCCATTATCATATCTGGCTTTCCCTTTATTCTTTATCTGTCTCAGTGGTAATCCCTCTTCCCATTTCAAAAGGCTTCCTATAAATCCTTATTTTTCCCTTTACGGAATAGGAAACAATTTTGTATCTATTATCTTCACCTTGTTTTCTGACAAACTTAAGACACTACTTGAATGAATTTTAATCAATATATTAACTCAACCAGACATTTACATTCTATGCTTTTGATCCTGAAGTGTGGAATCACGGATTTGTTCCCAGAAGAATTTTAGACCCCAACAGGAAGATGACAGGAATCAAGTGGTGGAGACTGGTTTTCTCCCTCCTAGTCATTAAAATGACATGATCTGAAGGCCAACCAAGTATCTAAGGTAGGGTGTATAAGAGTCTAAAGGGGTGGCACATATTGTGCCCTCTACTGTTTATAAGAATGACCCAAGCCGTTGTTCCAACTTCTGACACACATCTGAAACACTAGAAATTTAAAATTTCTAAGGTTTGGGATAACTTCATTATTTTAGTGATTTGCAATTAGAATTGAAAGTATGTTCAAAGCTAGCACACATACACTCATCACGTTTGTAAGTATGTTATATTCATATGGTACTTTATGCTTACAAAGTGTTTTCTTATGTGCTATGTGACTTGAACTTCAACAATATCTAATGTAAACATCATTTCCACTTTCAAATGAAGATTTAAGGTTCTCAGATAATAAGGGTAATAAAAGGCACAGCCAGGACTGAATATAAGAATTCTTAATCACAGTATGCTCTCTCTGTAATGTGTAACTTATACAGCAATATTAAAATACAATAATATTAAAATAGCTTGTATATGTAAACTCCAAACATTTTTAAAGTAGAAAAGTAATATGGTCCCCAAATTTCTAAATAAATTATGTTGATCTTTTGAAGCTCAAATTTATTATAATCTCTTTGACAAAGATAATTGTTTTGTTCTCTGCGGTCTCATCTTTCTAAAAGAATTCAATAGAAAAAATACTGTGAAAACATACAGCTAAATGAACAGAAATAGTCATCTTTAATTACCCAAAATATACGTTTCTCACTTTGATGCTTTTTCTTTGATGTCCTTTGAAAATCTTATTCAAATAAATTTAAAACATTAGCCTAAAAATTTGCAACTGTACAGTTCGTTTCAACTCAGTGATTCATGTAGATTTTTGTAACTAGCTTCTTTGCATATTTTATTAATTTGCCAACTTTGAAGAAACACGGTATCACTGGCAGGTTGTATCCTGTTTCTTCCCAAATGCATTTTACCTTGGCTTTTCTTGAAATGAGTTATAAAATGGCATTATCCATCAACTATGGTTCCTTTATCCAAGGGAAACTGAATCAGATTTAATATTACACAGATTTAAAACTCACGTTTTGCTACTTTAAAATTATTTTCTGTTCAATAAAATAGAGCTTGAGAGTATCGTTACCAAATTCAAATTTGATTTGAAATAACTTTAGTGATTATAAAGAAAAAAGATGCTAGAACATCATTGAAATGTGAAAACTGATCATTACAAAGCTATGAGCTGTATTCCTGAAGTGAAATAAATGACATTCATAAAAAAAAAATCATCTGAACATTTAAAAGAATACTCAAAATAAGAAAGGGGCTCACCGGTCTGAGTGAAACCAAACTGATGTAGAATCTGATGAGCGGCCAGCATGTCTGACTGTTTTAACCTAGACTTCTGTGAGGAGGCTGATGTTGAAGTAAACGAGAGATTTTTGTTGACCTGTAATAGGAAAGGCAAATCAGAACCAAAGTGTAATTTCCTGGGTTACTGATGCAAAAACTGGATGAGAAATATTTGCTTACAAGGCAAACCAGGCCACATGGTAGGTCAAAACAAATGGTAAGGATTTATGTGCTTAGTTTTAAAAGTTTATGAAACAGAATAGTTTTTATCAAGGAAGGAGTACAGTGGTAATGAAAGCATCACTATAGGAAAGCACATCTGCCTTACCAAAACAAATCTGCTTTTCATAGAACTGACATTATTAACTTAAAATAGAGTGTTCTTACAAGTTATGCAAAGACGTGAAAATTAAAAGTGACCCCACCCCCGACTTTCAATGAAGAAAGTTAAAATGTTTCACAGCCACATTTCTTTAGCATTTTGTGAACTAGCAGGTCCTTCCTTTTCAGAGAATGCACAGAAAACACCCATAATATCTATGTTTACATACATCATGGTGACCCAGGTAACAGAGCTGTAACATTACCTGCCAAGTGGAATAGCTCCCATTGCATAAAAACCCTTATTCTTAAGACACTGTTTAAAAACAGTACTGATATAATGATCAAGCAAAATTTCTGTAAGTAAATACGATGCTCTATTAACACAAAAAGCTTACTATGACTGTCTGAATACAATACTGTCTTCCAAAAATGATACCTGTAACAAGTACAACAACAGGTCACAAAAATGTTTTAAATGTGTTAGTAAATTTATCTTGTAACTTAGAATTAATTTTGGCAATGATCTCTTGTTCAATTATTAAATTATTCATTATATATTTATTATTTTTTGAAGTTTCTTCATTTTCAGAAATCATGATAAAATGTGATCTAATTCTGAAAAATTTTGAAGTTTGAATTTCTAATTTACTGCCAAATGTAATCTGTGACTTGCCAACTGTTAAAGGATAGTTTATGGCATATAAATACTAATATATGAAAATGGCTGCCTTCTCTCTTTGTAAAGGATTATCGAAACCACTCAGAGGACTACCACTGTATTAGCATTTAAAGATTCCCTTTTGGTGCTCTACATAGTAGTGGACTGTGGTTATTACATGTCCTTTACCTGACTCATCATTTACATAATGTTTGTAAATGCTTCTCTTCCTTCAAACAGTGACAGTAAATGGTGTATCTTAGATTAAGCTTTTTTCTCTTGAAGCAAAGGGCTTTTACATATTTGGTGAAAAAGTCCATTCATTAAGACCATATGACAATATAGTTCTAAAGTTGGTAAACTGTTGTGATATTTTATAAAAAACAAAAATATTTTTCAAAGTAGTTAGATGGGATCAAATACCACACCAGTGCTAAAAAAATTATCTAGCTTTAAAAATTCTATCAGAATCCATTATTAAACACTGACCAAAATTAATGGTGACTATTTATATTAATACAATACCTAAAGTAACAACGAAATCATCTCATATCTTTGAGCTTTATTTCCATCTTTAAGTGCAGATAATAAAAATTAAAAAAAGTAGGTATGCTTCAATGGGAATGCGCTGGAGGAACAATAAAGATGACTGGTATTATAAAGTGCCATTCGCATATGCGAATACATAAAGCACTAAATAACGTATTAAATAAAAAATAGATTTAAGTAGAGTATGTTGGCAAAGGGAAGCCATAGGCTACTACACAAAGTTCTTTAGAAATATTAGTTACTATTATTAAGATCACTAGAAGTCAGAGTAATTAGGAACATGTAATTTAATATGATGATGCAGTAAGTATTTCAGAGTGCTATGCTTTTAAATGGAAGTACTATATACAATGATATATTTATCCCTTAACAATCTAATCCACTTCTCTTTTTAGAATCATTTTCAGTTCTACTTCTGTGTTCTTAAAAATTTTTATCCTACATGTCAAACAATGCATTCTGAAATCTGGTGCAAAAGAACAGGTGTATGCTGGGGACAGGACACACACACACACACAACAGGCTTTTCAGTCTTCCTCTTCAGATGTTTACTTGTGCTAAAACCAAAAAGAACACCAGGAAAGCTAGAATAGGATACTTAAATGTCTCTGTTCAAACAGAGAGACTTTACAGTTTTTTCCTAAGCATTTTTAAAATTCTGCTCTTTCTTGATACATTTCTGGAGAGACTATCTAATATCTATGAAGTGGTAAGCGACAACATACAGCAGATTTCAAAGGTCTTGGACAGTTGTTAATTATTACAGTGATATGAAATTAGCACTCAAAGTATTTTCAGAGCTAGCCTATATATATACACTACTTTACTTAGAGGAAGAAAAATAATAATAACCATTAAATAGAGTGAAGCAATATCTATTTTTGAAATACATGCTGTGGAAAAGAATTGCTTAATAATTTTACAACAACAGAGAGGTTGGCTAAGACAGTCTACCCTACACGAATCTGCCCTCTTTTCACAACACACTCTTCTGCTTGCCTCATGCAAAAACCACAGTCTGCCAAAGTCAGTTTAATACCTCCAAACTGGGGAAAATGAAAAGCATACAAATTTAATGAAATTCATAATAGAAAAAAAGGAAAAGTATCACCTGAACTTCGTGTCACGTTAATCACAAAAATGTTTTTGCCTACTCTTTCGGAGCAGAAGCAGCTTTGTACAAAATACGCAAATTCCAATTCCCTAAGAGAAGGTTAATTTTTTTTTTGAGGTTAATTTTCATATTAAAAAAGTCACTGTCTGGATCTAAAACTGAGTGCACAACACTAACAAGCTAACGATTAGTTTCTTTAGTGGTTAGCTAAACTATGAAACCTTTGGGAGATATATAACATTCATTTTCATATACATTTGCAAGCCTAATCATTTTCACTGATTTTAGATTATATGCTACATTCACCTGAAGTAGAATTGTTTTTAAAATTTCAAGCCATGAAGACACCTTAAATTGGTTTTAAATTATAACCTGAAAAATGATAATGCTGTCTATATACTTATGTTTGTAAATTTGTCTCCCTCCCTCCTCCAGAAGGCTATTTTTTTTTCCATTAAAATGGAACAACAATGCAGATAATACTTCAATTTGAAGATGGTTCTGGTTGCAAAAAAACCCCCAATGCCCAGGAAACGTTCTGTTGCAAATCAAATGTCTGTTATAAAAATTAGAATCCCAATAATTAAAGAACAAGTGAAACAGAAAACTTGAGCCAGAGAGTCAAGGCAACTGAAGCCAGGTATCAACATTCTTGTACCATAAATTTAAAGCAGCTTAAGTTCCTGTGATTTCTAGGTAAGTAAAACCTAACAAATGAGTAGCCCGATGGTGTCATGAAGAGAAATTCAAACATGAGCTCTATGTCTCTATATATTTTCCTTATAAATTACTACAGTGACGTGAGGGATTAGGAAGAAACACAGTTCCTATTGGAAGAGAAATTTCTACAGTGGGGTGAGGTGCCAGAAAATCTCCCCCAAGTCAGTTCATCACTGCTACATGAACTAAAACCAGAATTCCAATTTGAATCAGTTATAACGAAGTTTTATTTTGCAGCACTTAATACAGACTTTTTGAGCCTCTGCTATATATACCAAGACTGGTAGTGCAAAGATGATTAACAGGATTCCCTGTCCAAAGCTTAAAATTAAGATTTGGTGCTGGTTCAAACCACCTATCCAACAACATGCCTTAGTCAAAGTCAATTTAACCTCAATATATTTTGGTTTTCTCCAAACCTTTGCCTCTTTTCTTAATGTATTTCCTTACTACTCAGAGAAAATTTGGTCTTCAACCCTCTGCAATCTTCATTTTCAAACCTATGAAAGAATATACCTCTTGCATCCACCCTCAACCTCTTTTCTTCTAGTGTCCTTCTGTTCAAGATTAATCCCTCCATTTGTTCCCTTGGGGATACTTAAAGTTCTTCCAAATTCTACTTTCAAATGCTCTACTGGCTGTTTCCCTATAGTATATAAGCAGAGCTCTTTCTACTTCAGTATAAAAACAAATAGCAAACAATAAAAATTCTCACGATTCCATAATTTCCTTAAGCTTCACTGAAAGCTAAACTCCTTGAAAAACAGCACATAACTGCTATCCATATAACTTAACCATTCAGTTTCAACCAAGTACAACTATGATTTTCTCCACCAGAAGACTAAATTTGAAATTAAAGTCACCACACCCAAGACTTCAAATGGTCAATTAGCAGATTCATTTAAGTGGTTGCGATCTCTAACACTGCCCATCACTCCCTCTCTTGTTTCTGGAAAACTATTTTCTGTTGGTTTATCCTGCCACTGCTTATCAGGGCTGTTTGTTAGACCCACTGGACCCTCTCTTCCCTCACTCTGTGTGGTTCCCCTGGGCAGTAACGTTTGTTTGCGTCACTTCATCTGCCATCTATGCTGACTTTTTTTTTTTTATTTTTATGTTCAGTTAGCCAACATATATACTATTATCAGTAGTTTCTGGTATAGTGTTCAGTAACACCCAGTTATTGGTGTTATCACAAGACGTTTCTTAAATCCAAAACTCTTCCAATCACTAGGTTCAAGACTAAACTAACTTCTCCTCGACTATTTACTTCCTCAGGGAAAGCTATCTCTATCCACCTAGTTGCCCCCGTCAGAAAGGTGGGAATCCTACATTGCCATCTCATCCTCCACAGAGAATTAGTCACTAAGTCAATTAAATGCTCTGACATCTGGTCCCACTCTTTCTCCAGTCAGTGCTTTGGGTCAGGCCTTCCTCTCTGCTTGCAAACTACTGCAATCGCCCCCTGATTTGTTTTCCCTATCTCCTGTTTCTCTAATTCTTCTACACTGCTAACAAGCTGATCTTTCTAAAATGCTAGTTTTACTGAGTAACATTTCTGGTTAAAACCCAGCATCAGCTGTTCCATTAGATAAAGTCCGAAGTTTTTAGCCTGGCATACAAAGTTTTCTATATTCTAATGACTACCTCACTCTCCAACCTTATCGTTCCTTTTCCTACTTTCCAGCTACAACAAAATGCATGTAGCTCTGCAGACTGTCCAGGTTGTTTC